CAAGGTAAACAAAAACTTATGAGCATCCTATCAGCCAGGATCACCATGTCTTCTGCTTTACAAGGTTTGATGTTTTCTGCCTTATGAATGCTTTGGACTGTTGTTACTCCAGCTTGAAATTAAAAAGATCGCTGATATTGAGAATTCAGAGTAAGTCCACATGAAATCAAGACAGTTAGAAAGGCATCCATAGGCATCAAATTCTTAGTAGGACCTGGAGGGATCCTTAACACAACCTGTAACAGACACCACTTACTCTACACCCACCACTGCTCTCTGCTCACCTAGGCCAAATCCTCCCACTGCCCAGCCATCTTGTTCTTGAAGGCTCCCCTGCCTGGGCCTTCACAGCTGACTATGAGTCATTCTTCAAAGAGTTCCCCTTCCACTGCAGCCCTTTTCATTCCATTACTGTTTTACTCTCTTCATCACTCTGAGCACTGCTCCCAAATTGCCCATGTTTATTGACTAGTTGGCCCAGTATCTTGTAAGCTCTTGTTCGCTCTATATTCTCAGTGCCTACAGTAACCTGTGGCACATGGCAGATGTTCAAGGAATAGTTCTGAATTGAAAGCAGAAGGAAGGGAAGGAGAGGAGGCGAGAGAAAAGGAGAGAATCCTGACATGGTAAGCTCATGTTTAAGGACCTAAGGGAATGCTGGGATTCCCAGATGAAGGGGAAGAGAGATGGAAGAAGGCAGCAGTCCTTTGGGTAGGTATACCTGAAGATGAAGACCAGTGAGGGGCCTCTGAAAGAGTCTAAAACCAGGAATGATATGATTAGGTTTATATTCTTACAAACATCACTCTGGATTCAATATGAAAACTGAAGCACAATGGAGCATAAAAGGGCACAAGCCAGCTAGTCAGAAGCTGCCACAGAGGATCTGACAAATGAGGAGACGGTCATAGACATAAAAATCATGGGATGACTGGTGGAGCCCATGCTGATTCTGAGAAGGGAAAGAGAAGAGAACACATCAAAACAGACTCTAGGCGTTGGGCTTGCTGGCTGGTGGAGCCGTGTTTACTAAGACACTAGGAAATGGTCAAGGGGTGGATTTAGGGGAGGAGGATGTGGACTGACTTGGGAGAGACAGTGGCTCCTGGAGGGGCCTCTTAGATATCCCAGGGAAACTGTCTAGTAGGCAGCTGGAAATACAGGTCTGGAGTTCAGAGGAAAAGTCTGGACTAGAAGAAAACAAACAGTCAAGAGACATCATTAAATAACAACAATACGTCACCCATAACAGGGACAGCAAAAGAGAAATCAAGAGAGAAGCTGAAGAAGATTCTGCAATACTAGTCAGCACAGATTTGGCAGTGTTGCTGACACAGCCTGGGATGTAGTGGACACTGACTACTTAGATAAGTTTAAAATAATTGGGTCCTGCTTTGTGGAAGTTCCAACTGAGCTACTGTAAGAGTATGAATGGCTATGGTGGAGCCTCACCACATATATTTCAAGACAGGCCAACAGGAAGGTGCTGGCTTTTAAATTTATACAAATTACCCATGATGCTGTATGCCTCCCAGTTTAGTTGTAGCCATGTGACTAAGTTCCAATAAAAGACAGAAACAAATGTGTATGGTTTGTCTTGGGGCATTCCATTAAAAGGAAAAGGATACATTCTCTCTTTCCTCCCTTCTCCACACCTACTGCTTAGTGCATTTATGAGATGGCTGGAGCTGGAGCAGATTTTTGGTCCATGAGGATGAGAACTAAATCCAAAAGTTGGCAAAGAAATTAGCTAGAAAGAACCTGGGTTTCAGGCTTCTTTCAAAAGAGAGAAAAATAAGCTCATCTAAGCTACTGTCATTTGAAGATATTCTGTCCCATGCAGTCAATCCTAATCCTCACCACAACACTAGCCAACTGGTCTACCACATCCCATGTATCGCATTCCTCTTGCCTTAGGTATGTCATCACCCAGACAGGGGGTATCCTCCCCCTTGCCTGCATTTACTTAAATCCTGCCCATCCTTTGGAGGACAGATCATTTTCCACCTCCCACTGGAGATTTCCCTTCCACTTCCTCCCTGAACTCTAGCGCAGTCTGCCTATCCCCACTCCCTGGTCATCTGACCCATGCCTTCACAGCAAGTAATTCATCCCTCTGTACTTATCCCATGACTCCTCAGTGAAGCTGTTTTGGTCAAGGGCAGAGCCCATGGTTGCCAACTGCATGAGGCTTGAAAAAAGCACGTGTCCTGATGATGCCCCCATGTGATCTTCTTACCTCTGCCTATAGCTGGGACCAGGCAGGGGCCAGAAAGTAGGCAAATACATTTAGAAAAACCGATGGCTATTTGGAAAAAATCTAATCCACTTCCAACATCAAGAGATAGCTTGGGGGAGTAGCTGATATATCACATTCAAAATCTATAGCATAGATGTCAGACATCTCAAAGCCCACCAGCAGGTGCCCTGCCCATAGAAAACACCGCACAGGCCCTCCCACCCCCCCATAGAGAGGTGCAGCACATAGAAAATTGACCCTTTAGTAAAACAAAGCAGGTCATGGCAGGTGTAGGTGGCACACTGTTGTCTTAGCTACCCTGGCAGCTCAGACAGGAAGACTCCTTGAACCCAGGAGTTTGAGGCCAGCCTGGGCATCAGTGAGACTCCATCATTAAAAGCAAAACCAAACCAAACCAGACAAAAACCTACTTAGCAATTAACATCAATGAAGAACTACTCTTGATTACTTAAAACAAAATATGTTTCCAAGATCCTAAGAGCAACCAGGAAGAAGACAAATGATTTGTATCTAATATGGGTCATTCATAAAAGCAGTGAAATGCTTTAACAATTCTGCTTTCATCTCATTGTCTGCCAAGTGATTGTTAAATCCCATGGAAAAGGCAGAGGAGGTTCCGAGGACTTGACACTCTGACACATCAGGACGACATCAGCAGAGCTAATTACTACTGGGGAAGTTTTGATGGAAACTTCTAATTTAGAATTAAGCCTTAGTGGAAACAAGCCCAGCTTGTTTAGGGGCCCATCAGAGTTCCTCAAAATGCCCTTCTTGTGTGAGAATATGGGGAAGAGCAGGCATTCTGAGGTCTCCACTGAGAGCAGCCAGATTCACAACCCACAACGCCAAGTTCAAAGTCAGTTTAAGTGACTCCAGGAAGATGAGCATGGAGGAGTGGGGAGATCGGAAGTTTGCCCTTTAAAATAACACTGGTGCCTCTTGAGATCTGCGGGTAGCAGTAAGGCACAGCTATTTACAATCTCGGAAAGCTCAGCGTGTAGACCAGTGAAGGGCCACAAGGCGCTGTCACTCTCCTTTCTGCAGGTGGTTTGCATACAATTTAGTAATTCCTCTCTGCCTCCTCTTCTACTGAAACTCAGCCAGGTTTTAGCATGACTGCCAAAACTGCCCCCTTCCGGGCCTAACAGGCCAGGATTCCATGCCAACCCCACGTGGTCAGATGCTACTTAGAGACAGCGCCTGAGGACACAGAAACCAGGACCTCAGAGAAAGGGGCTCTTTTCAGGCTGAGCTGCCACTTGTAACCACCAGGTGTCAGTAGCGAGCAGGGAGGCTCCCATCCTGGGTCTGCAGTAAATTTCTGCCAGGCTAGGAAGGGGGAGAAACCTGATGCTGTGGCTTTGGGGACACATGCAGCACTACCAGCAGTACTCTCAGGCACTTATGAGTACTTCATTTACTTGATTGCCAACTCACCACACAACCTCTAGGATGGATTTAACTTGATGTACTTCACACACTCAGAGAAAAGATCAAGTACTGTTCGCTTTGATAGGACTGGAGGCTTTTGCCCTATCCCCTACCCCAGGAAGGTGGGGATACTCCTTGCCTGTCCTCCCTATATAAGTTACCAAAGGACTATGGTAGAGGCTTCTATATCTATCTGAAGTTCAAGGCATTTGGCTTGCAAGGTTGGCTATTACTGGGTTCAGAGCCCATAGGGAGGAAAGTCCAACTGAGGAACTGGACTGTAAAAAGCCATAGCCAAGAGCTATTTCACTGCCTGCCATATGGAGCTGGTTTCTCTCACCAAGCGTGGCATCTTCAACAGAAATATCGGACATAAGCAGGTGAGCAACACTGTAGGCTATCCTTCATTGGCCTTACAAGCCTAGGAGACCAGTGAGCTCTGCCTTAGCTACAGTTTCTTCCTGCTCAGACCAGGATGCATCATTTGGAACACAGACCATGTGGAGGCAGGCCCTTTGGAGTCTCTACCCCAATTGCTCTGGCCTGAACAACACCAAAATAATACATCTTATTCTGTTCTTTGCATCTAAAGACAACAGGCCACCTGCTGAGCACTCTTTTTTTTTTTTCCCCCCTCTGGGTATTTGTGGGATCTAGTAGGTACTTTCACTGACACCTGTCCCCTTTTAGCCTGTTTCCAAGATCTCACAGGCAAAAATGCTGAGGACAATCTACTGGATGAAAGGCCCAGACTCAGCTTAGGGTTTTGCAGATAGCCTCATGTCCCCACCTCACAACAAGGAAACACTCAAAGCTTTAGCTGTTCAGTGACATCCCTGAGGCCCAAGACCAGGAAAGGCAATCTGATCATTAGAGGACTCAAGACCATCTCAGGACAGTCCCACTGTCACTGCAGCACTGGTGCCTAGATAGAGACAGTCATAAAACCAAAGTTGCCCATTAGATCTCATGTCACAATGGGACCAGCATCAGGTTTAGCCACATTTTTGCTTACCGGTGCCCACTTTTCTTTGCTCACAAAAGGCATTATATAAAATGACGGAGAGGGAGCTGAGGACATTTCTGAGGCGGAGAGAATCACTGCAGAGCTTACCTTCCCTCATGAGGCGCCTGCCCCTTTCCTTTCATCTTAGATTCCTGGTTCTGTGTCACTCCACCCCACTCCAGCAATAGCTAGAAAAACCAATGTCTTTCAAGAATAGGTGTTCCCAGGCCTGGACTGAGAAGCTGTCCAATCCGAAGGACTGGACACCTGTGGACACACTACGGAGGGAAAATCCAATCTTACCACTTGATGACGAAGAGAAGCAGTGCTGGACCGAGCCTGAGGAGGACGTGCTGCAGTTCTGCCACAGGTCTGTTGCATGTCCGTTACCCACCAGCCATTGCTAGAAAGAACCAGACAACCCAGATCAGTGCAGGCAGGGAGGGAGGAAGGAGTGGGCCAAGGACCGTTGAAAAGCAGTCTCATCCACCTGGCTGCCTGCCCCTCCCTCCCGTCCAGCATTGCCCACCAGAGGCCACTCCCTGGTAAAGTTCATAGCCACCACCCAGAAACAACAAGAGAGTTGGCTGTCTGGTACAGACATCCTGTGAAGGTGGATGTCAACATTTTTTAGTGAAAAGCATTTTGTAAATGGAAAAGTAGCATACACACACACACACACACACACACACACACACACACACACTCACAGAACTGTGGAATCACCCAGGACAACCAGCATCACCCATCTCTTGTCCCCTGACTTTTGGCTTTCATTCCCAAGTCTCCACTTCTCTAAGACCTACTAATCATTTTTGTCTGACAAGATTCACATCACACATAATTAAGATCTTGTGAGGATGCTTGTAAATGATAACTCAATTCACAAATCCCTAACATAATTATTTCTCAAACAGAGCAGAAAATCACACCTACAACCTGCCGTCCATTAAGCCATTCATGCCACAAGCACATATCTGCCTGAGTCATTGCTTATCTTCATAGGTACGAAACTAAGTTTAAAATTGAGGGGTAGTTTTGTAGACCCTCAAGTTCAAGTTTAATGAGGCGCTGTGGCCGCATTTTAAAACGGACCTTGCAAGGACTTGCAAACTACTTTCAGAAAAGACAATTTTAGTTTTAATTTCCAAGTCTTAGTGGGTGTTTTATAACTAAGCTACTCATGTGATCTACAATTTAAAGAAAAACACATTTTCATAAATACGTAACTTTGTCACTTAACTTTCTCGAAAAACAAAACAAAACAAAAACGCTAAACGATCTTGTCAAATGCAGGTTGGGAAACCTTAGATGGGCCCTGAAATTATTTGGCTTAAATAGAGGCCTGAGCAGCTGATTTATTCCAGCGCTTGTTTGCTTCCTACCCCTGAAACTGCTCTGGATTAAAAAAAAAAAAAAAGGCGGCAGATAGAAAGAATATTAAAGGAAAAAAAAAAAAACCGCCTGGGACATCTGAGACTTCATGTTGCCTGCAGTAACATCCCAGTCCAGACCCGGGGAAGCCCGCCCGGGCTGTTTACCCGGAGGAAGGGTCGCCTGCTGCCCCGGGGAACTTCCCCCTGCCCTCGTGACACTCACGCTGACGATCGTGGAGACAAACAGCAGCACTAGCACGGCGACGTGGAGGACGATGATCCCCAGCAGGAGGAGCAGCATTCTGGCGGCAAGTTGTGCTCAACGGAGTTCCTGCCTGCGCGGAGAGAAAGCGAGGATGTATGTGAGGCCGCGCGCTATGGCCAGCGAGCTGCTCGGGCCGGCGGGGCGAGCGAGCGAGCGAGCGAGTGAGGGAGCGAGGGAGGAGCGCGCAGTGGGAGGGTCCGGCCCGGCGCTAGCGGAATGCGGAGCCTGGCACTGCGCGCTGTGCCCGCCCGCCCACGCCGGCCTGCGCGCCCTCCGGCTGCCCCTCCGCCAAGAGGGGGCGGCAGCCGACTGCAGGATCCCCGCCCGGCGGCCGGCTAGGCCGGCCTGCAGAGGAACGTCTCTTGCTTTTGGAACAAAACAAGCGGTGTGCACGTCTAAGTCACCCTGGGAGGAGAGGACTTTCCAGAATGACGAGCCACAGTACGCCACCGCCCGTCCCGGGAGCCTCCTGGGAATTTGGGGAGGGAGAGAGGCCACGCTCTCCCCACCCGGGTTCAGATGGCCAATTCCCGTATGGGGTGGACGCACGGGGTGCGGGAGGTGGGTCCCCCAGGATTTCGGCCGGAGGCCTGGAGTCACAGCTGCCTGCTGGGATGGGAGCGCGCAGGGAAGCTGGTTTCCCAGACCCCAGTGCATTCCGTTAGTTAGCCTCCAAGTTTCCACCCAGTTTTGCCAGCGTAAGGGAGCCGTCCTGTCCCCAGCTTAGCCTGGCGCAGACACTGGAGGCTCGGGAGATGGCGCAGAGCCGGGGGGAGTGTCCAAAGCAGAGAACGGCTAGGGAGCGTTGCCTGGACCCTGAGCTTTCCCCGGCAGCCCCTGGGGGCGGGGGACATTCCGCTCCGGGCGGAGCCACGTGTGTTCGCTTGGGGGTCTTGTCTGCGCCCCAGGCACACAGAGCCCCCACGGGGACCCGACCCAGCATGGGATCCAGTCTGGGCGCGCCAGGACCCGAGCCCAGGAGCATGGTCCGAGGGGTGCAGATGTCTGGCGGGAAGAGAGACAGACGGAGGGGAAAGGGTTGATTTGATTCTGAGGACTATTCCAGCTGGTCAGAGTCTACTTCTTGCTGATGTCGTGAGGTCCAGAACCTTCACTTAATAGACTTTGGGAAAACTGAAGGTTGGGATAACCTGTTCCCCAGTTTCGGAAGACTAGCTGCGTGTGTGAGGACCAGTTAAGAACAGGGCCTTAAGCCAAGGAGACGTTTCAGTTAAATTTTTGAAATACCCAATTCCAGACGCCTCCATTTTCCTCCACAAGCAACACATTCAAAGAATGTAAAAAAAAAAAAAAAGTAAGCAAAATTTTCTGATGTCATCCAGAGGATTTCAATTAAATCCGATGGTGCCTAGTGGCCAGGAGCAAGAGGAGGGCGATTGGGCATGTGGCTAGGATCTGGGGATCACATGGGTCCAGAATCCGGGGAATATCCACCAGAAGGGTTGTTTTACCAATGCGTCCCCAATTGGAAGTGTCTTTAGCTGTCCCGCCCTCAGCTACCCTCTGTCCAGACACCCCGACCACCACTTTGGCCCTGTAACATTTACAGATCATAAAGGCACTCATCACCGTATCCTTTTGGATAGGAAGGAAACAGGCAGGGATCCCCGGGCTAATGACAGAAGGCTCAGGGACTTGGCCAGAGCCCGCGCCTTCCCCTCTCTTTCTGGCACACCATCGACGGAAGATGCCCACGTTTCTCCTCCATCTCCTCCACTTTCCCCACCAAGTTACTTACAGCCCAAAGGAGTAGCTGTCCCCGATCGGAGTGACCTCAGGCACAAACGCGGGTACGATGGCTAAGTAGTGGCGTCCCCAAAGATAGCTGTGCTGCGGGGATGCGCGCGCGCGAAGCAAGGGGGCAGTGGGAGGCTCCTGGCGTTCCCCTTTAACAGGAACAACGCCCTGTTTGCGTCGCTGCAGTGGGGTGTGTCCCTGGGTCAGCGTGTGCGGGAGGGCGGGACTCAGGAGAGGGGGCCGGAGGAAGGGAGGGCGGGCGACAGTTACTTGGCCTTAAGTGTGCCTGGGAGGAAAAAAAGTCAATCTCTGCAAAACCTCGGCGACTTTTACTAGAAACTGGAGGCTCCTGAACTTTCTCGCCCCAACCCTTTACCCCCTACCCCCAGCTCCGACGTGCTCGGGGAAACAAAGTGTTGACAGATGAGCTGATCTATAGGCTTCCTCAGCCCACGTGGGAAAAGTCTGTCAGATGTTGCCCCGCGGGTGCGCAGCGCTGGGTTTGGGGGCGCAGTGATGCAGTCGCCGGCGCCTACGCGGGAGCCGAGGCTGAATCCCTCTCCAGTAGCCGGGAAGCGGCGCCTAAATGGTGGACGGCCCTCCTCTTCTCTTGGGTCCTGGCACACCTGGCCTGCCCTGGCGTCTTCTCAGGACACGCCCGCATCACGCTCGTTCCCTCTATCAGAGTCTGTACCTAGGAAGTGTGCTGGCTTCCTGGGATTCCTGGGGAATGATCTAGCAGTCCCTGCTTGGATGAGAATTAGGGGCGGCTAACTAAGGGACTCCTCCTAGCCTAGGCAAAACCAGACTTCAACCGAATAAGCTCCAGGCGAAGTTTGCCTGAAACGGTCTGGCTTAGCTCCCAGCCTTGGCTGGGGTCCTGGCTAGGGGGGTAGAGGGTGAGGAAAGTGGCCATTTGAGGTGGGGGGAAGAGCAGCCAGGGAAATCAGCTGATACACAGCTGTCTGAGTGTGGTCCGCCCAGCGTTTGAGAAACAGAGGCTAGCTAGCCTTTCTTGCCTTGGCTCAGATGCGCCCAAGCAGAGCAGGGGAACCAGAATGGCTTTTAAAAGTCATTGTGGTGTTAAACACCTCTGCCCACTAATGGAACAGTACACACACACACACACACACACACACACACACACACACTACCTGCTAGTGTTCTGTATCATATAACCTCATAATCCTAAGTGATTTAAATAATTCCATAATACCTTATGATTTGAAAGTACCTGCTATTTTACCTTGTGAAATTTTTATTCAATGTCCAGTCTATGCCAGCATACACTTGACACCCAGGGACTTGACACACAACTGGGGAGAGGCAGTGTGGTGCAATGGTTAGGTGTTCTGGCTCTGCACTCAGAACTACCTGATCCCTTGCTTATTCCTGCTGTGAATTTGGCAATTTCTGAAGTTCACTGAGCTTTGGTCTTGTCATCTGCAAAGAGGGCCAATACTGCCCACTTCAAAGGCTTAAGGCAATACTTAAAGAAGGCAACTATGTGCAAAGCAACTAGTATAGTATCTGAACAAAATAAGGGCCCACAGGCATGGTAGTGCACACCTGTAATCCCAGGTACTTGAGAAGCAGAGATAAGAAGAGTGTGGTTCAAGACCAGCCCCAAGCAAAAGCACTAGGCCCTACTTGAAAAACAAGCTAAAAGCTGCAAGCAAAAGGACTAGGGGCATAGAGTGCTTGCCAAACTCAAGGCCCTGAGTTCAATCCCCAATATTGCCTAAGAAAACAAACAAACAAACAAACAATGGCCCAGTCCCCAAACTTTCACCACTAGTATTAAACTATCACATTCAACCCTCACATCAACCCTTCAAAATAGACCTGACCGCCTCTGCGCTAATGCCCAGGGTTATAGAGCTATCTAAGAGTGCCTATGCCAAGAAAATGACTAAAAGAAGGAAGGACTTTCCCCTACCCTGTGGGTCCTTTTACAGGCCAAACGTGTCCTAGAAATCATTACCTAGATTCTAACTTGTATTTATGTAGTCAATATTTATGTATTCTCTCCCTCTCCATCACCATTCTAAGCACTTTTTCCAAATATTAGCATATTTAACTCTGGATTTTCTTTCCTTTCTGTTTCTCAAGTAAAGTTTTTAATGAAGTGTAATATATGCCTAGAAAAGTGCACCCAGAGCTCCCTGCTTTCTTTCTTGTGCACCCAATATTTTAAGCAAATAACCGCCCAGTTCTTGGCCTCACCATAGGCTCTCAGACAGGTGAGCCCATCCCTACCTCCCTGCCTGTTTGCTTCCTGCCTGGCTCCCAGTGATAGAGAGGAAATGCCACTGAGCACAGGGCTAGATCAGGCTCAGCCACACCCAGGCCACACCCAGGCCACAGGTGGACTCATCTCCCTAACCTGCTTCCCAGGATCTCCTGCCAGCTGTGTGCACACCGCTAAACCCCTTTCTCCCTTCCAATCCGGGTGTGTTAGGACTTTCTAGATGCTCTCAGATGACTCTCTTGCTTCCCCAGCCAACATATACATCCATCTCATAAGATGTGCAAACTCCTCCAGCTCTTTCAAAGCATGAACTATCTCTGCTATAGCCCTTTCCATTCGCAGTTTAGAGGGGCTGGGGAACTGGGCTTTTCTCTATAAACCACACACCACCCAGAGGCACCATTTGCCAGTACAACTCACCAGGCCAACAACGTAACCCCTTCCTCCACGCGGATTTCTTTGCAGTCAAGTGCAAAGGATGGCAGTATAGGCCTCCCCACAGGGCAGCCAGAGACCCACAGCAGGCAGAGTCTAAACCCTTCTGCTTCCAACCAGGCTCCCCCGAGATGAAATGTTCCCTGGTGGTGCTCCCTGTAACTGAGGCCAAACCAGGCTTCTTTCCAGTTTATTCAGGGGCTGGTCCAATGCTGGGATATGTCATGGTGGCCTGAGAGGCTCTCAGCCTGTACTGTTTAAAGAGACAGCGTCCAGCTTTGTGCCCTTTCCATAATGGAATGATCCCAAGAGACCCTGCAGGGAAGGGAGAGTCTGGGATTAACTGGTAGAAAAGCTTTGGATGTGGCTGAAACTTGGGAGAGCAGGGTTGTTCCCTAAGTGCCAACCTGTGTACCAGCAAAGGGGTTGAGCCCATTCTCAGGACCGTCCCTTGAACCCAGTGAATTCTGAAGGAAGGAAATCTACTGTGACAAGGGTCCTTGTGCATATGGGCACAGATCAATTTCATTTTAAATGAACAGTATGCTTTTACAGAGCTTTAACGCTGCACAGGTGACCTTTCAGAGCAACACACCAGAACCAAATGTCTCAAAGTGACCAAATCCAGTCCACTTCTCTCTGATGCCCGTGGCAAGGGTCTCTTCTACCTGCCCTGTCTGCCTCAACCACTCCTCCCCAGCATACCGTACTGATGGCCTATTAGACAAGGAAATGGGTCTCCCAGCTCTGTCTTCCTTATGCCCTTCACCAAGTCATTATTAAATGTTGACCTTCATGAGATAATTCAGTTCAAGTAAACAAACCTCTACCAAAAGCATTCTAACCTGTCAGGCAGGATAGGCTGGGTGAGCAATTGGAACACTGTGAAGAGGTTGGTGAGTGATGATCTTCAGGTCCTCAAAATAGGGTCCCATCTCTAGCCACTGCTCCTAGATGTCATGCTAAGACAGGGGGATAGAGTTTCATTGAATATATTTCCTGGAATCCTGGCAATTTTCCCACATCTTGCACCTAGGATCTGCCACTGGAAGGATGCACAGAACTTGGGAAAATCCTTGTCTGTCTTCTTGGTCTCTCTACTCTCTCAAGAGCGGTTCTCAATGGCCTCCTCCAATTATTCTGCTCACAGCCAGCACCTTTCCAGTCCAAATGGAGTGCTTTCACCTTTCTCCCTTTGCTTCATCATTTTTAAAATTTTTTTTCAGCAGTGGTTCTCAGCCCTGACTGTTCATTAGAACCACTGAAGAACTTTGCCAATGACCTAGCCTGGGCCTGAGCCCAACAATGCAATGACCTAGTCTGGGCCCAGGCCCAGCAAATGCTGACGTTGATGATCAGGGCTGGGCTCTGGTATGGGTAATTTGGAATGTGTTCCTTCCCCAGGATGTCTCGTGGTCCAGCCAGGTTGTCTGGAATTAGTGCATCCTTGTTTTCCTTCCAACTCCCTTCAGTGATGGAATGCAAATAAGGTTTGGCTCAATGAGGACTGCAGTATTATACAGGATGTGACTTAGTCTTGCTAGGTGAAATAGGGGCTATGTGTGAGAGAGGAAGGAGTCCTGGTCAGTCCTCTTTTGACAGGGTCTGTGGTGCAGGGCAGCTGGGAGGCAGTGAGCATGGTTTTCCTGACCTCTCCAGATTGTCCCTTTCCCCTTCATGGGTGCCCTGGTGAGATTCTGAAAGTTGTATGGCACAGACTGCTGCAACTCAGGCTAGAACAACATGAGCACACCTGAGATTATTTCTGAAGCAAGAATTCAAAATTTGGAGAAAAAGGGGTGGAGTGGGTGGAGTTGAGGGCATGAATTTTGCTTCTGGCTGTATAGGGTTAGTCTGATCAGCCAGCCTGCCCTCCTTCCATCCCAGACCTGCTCTCCTAACCTGTCTCTCTTTTGGACCCTCTGTCCCCAGCAACAAAGCCCTGGAGGGCTCGCTGGCCATTGGCAACAGAGCTGGTCTCTACTGTGTTTACACTAGCTCCATTCACTAGGTACCAACACACTTGTCACCACTCATCTGGGCCAGGGTCTGTGCCTTCCCATGTAGGCAACCCAGGAAAATACCTTTCTGGTCCTCTCTGTCCCACTTCATACAGTAGCCTTCTCCCCAGCCATATGGGGCTCCTATCCCAAGCATCTGTGTTAATCTATGGAGAATATCATACAGGGCCATAGAAATGTCACCCAATCACATTCATCATTAGTATTTGCCCATTTTATGCCTGGGGAAAGTGAACATTGTGAAACCACTGAAAAAACACAGTTAAATCCAACAGACTGGCACTAAATTCCAATAAGTCATTCATAAGCCACTAATTTAAATAATAGTGATGATAATAGCTCACACTTACCCCAGCATCATCCTAAACATCTCATATGAATCAAATCACT